CAGTACGTCTCAGGCAGCCGGGCCCTGAGCTAGCCAGATGGAGGTCCCCGGAAGGGGCACCCCAATTCCCACTGGCCCTTGGCTGGGCCTCTGCTGGCCTCCACATCCTGCTGTCTCCAGCTATGTGGCCTGAGTCGTCTCAGTGCTGACGACCACAGGGGACTTCCTTTACAGAAATCTGAACCCACCAGCTTGGAGGACGGGATGCTGTCTTCCTCCATCTACTCTCCAAGTAAAGCTTTATGGGGTGAGAATCAAATCACCAGAAGAAACCAGTTCAACAGAGGGAAACCGCACCACCACCACCACCCATGACAAAGTCACATTCCAGGCACGTCCTGGGTCAGGAGGTGCTCTGGCTGCTCCAGCGTGCCCCTGGCCTCAGGTGACCGGAGCGGCTGTTCAGACTGAGGACCCGAGGTCATGCAGGCCATCCCGAGTGTTAAAAACGTTTCTGATTATCGTCTACAAGACAGGCCACAGAGGCAGGTCTTTTAGAAACAGCTGCTCTGTCATGGGACTAAGGTGCTATGCGACAGGGTCCTCCAGAGTCTGGCCTTCCAGAAGTCCCCATGACCCCGCCCGGCCCCACCTGACCCGGAATCCCAGGGGGCCCCAGGCCCTAGGTCCGGATGCCTGCAAGCTGCCCGTCCTGTCTGGAAGCTGGGGATGGCGGCCCTGCTGGCGCATCAGCCACCCCAGGGAGCTGGAGCGGAGTGGGAGCAGGGAGTCCTCGGGGCTCGGGCTCCTATGTGTCCCCCTGTGTGTCCTGCGTCTGCATGTGGGAGTCCCCGGGACCCGTGGAGGGCTCGGGTGGGGAGGACAGGCAGCAGGCGCGGCCCAGAGCTTTGGCCTTTCCTGATTCCAAGGGCAGCGTCTCCGGAATTTCTCCTGCTGCCTGCACGTTTCCACGGGCCCCCGTGCCTTGCAAAATGTGTCACGGACATGTTGCTGAATTTCCGCAGCTGCCTGGTATGGCTGCCATTACTCTACTTTACTGTGAAAACGGGACCCAGAGACGTTGGGAGGCCTGGCAGGGACACAAGGATGGGGCTGGATGGGGCAGAGCGCTGAGCCTCCCCGTCTCCCAGCCCAGCCAGACACCGCTGACCCGGGGGAGATGGACTGTGCTGGCGTCAGGCCGAAGCACAGAGGGGAGGACCAGCGGGCTGGGAAGGAAGCGGCCAGAGGTGAACCGTGTCCTGATTCACCCCTAACTTGCCGAGCACTCTGTCCACAGCTCCGTGCTTGGAGACAGTGGCCTGGCTGTTGGAGTTTGTCCGCTTTGGGTTTTTGCTTTAGGAAAAGGAAGTGCCAAAGAGGGGGTTTGTACCAGGTCACAGATTCGCAAGCAGGTGCCTTCAATCATGCTTGGTGCTAGGGAGTGTGCGGGACTCCGGCCCCCTGCCCTGCCGAGCTGAGCAGGAGTTGGACACGTCTGGGGACTCGTTGTTTGCCCAGAACCTAGACATCGTCACCCATTTCCACCCAGTCTGTCTCCGTGTTGGCCTGAGGCTTGGGACCCCTAAGCTGTGAGGCTGAGAGCCCCAGCGGCACCGTGAGGCCCAGAGGCCCAGATTCAGAACTGATCCTCCCGAGAAAACCCAGCGGGGAAAGAGGCGCACGGTGCTGCTGCTGCCTTCCCCGGGTTTCGGGGTGGCGCCCTCGCCTCCCCCGGGGATCCCCCATCCGATGAGAGGTGGACAGTGAATGGCAGTTTTTCTGTCTGTGGTTTGCCGAAGAGCCCATCCAGACCCTCTGGGAAGCCCCACTTGAGGAAGTCTCCCTGGGATGGGGCGCCCTCCCTCTGTCCCCCCACCTCTCCCCTCTCTCCTCTCTCTTCCTCATTCCTCTCCCCTCCTACCCCTCCTTCCTCCTTCCTGACCCCAGGGGCACCACCTGCCCCTGGGCAACTCCTCTCCAACACCTTCTTTCTGCCAAAGGGAAACAAACACAGAAACCTTACCCCGGTGTGGTGGTGGTAGGAGGTGGGGTGGTGAGGAGGTAATGAGGTTTAGATGAGGGCAGGAGGGTGGGACCCGCACGACGGGGGTTAGCGCCCTTAGAAGAGAGCGTGCCCCCCACCCCCACCACGCCGTGAGGTCATGGCTGCCGGCAGTGCCTGTGGACCGGGAAGGGAGCTCTCACCAGGAACCGACCGCCCGGCGTCTCCTTCCCAGGCTCCCAGTCTTCAGAACTGGGAGAAGCTGCTGTCGTTGAAGCCGCAGCCCGTGGTAAGTTGTTCTGGAAACCTGAGCCGACTAAGACACCCCCAAAAGAGAGCAAGCAGAGGCCGCTGGCTCGGAGCTGGCTGGAGCCGGGGCTCAGCCGCCGTCACGCGCTCGGTGGGGACGCAGACACAGGCGCAGGCGGGGCAGCCTCACGGCGGGAGGTGGGGGGGGGTCAGCGTCCCTCGCGGGGGGGCTGTGGGTGCGGGAATGCCCGGGGCGGCTGACTGGAAGCAGGAGCCTCCAGGACTGGCCGGGGGAGTGGATTTGGCTCTCCCTGTTGGCCCTAAATTGGAGGTGGGGGCCGCTGGGGCCGCCGGCCGTTGCTGATCGCGCCTGGGCCATTGGGGCTGATGGCTGCGGGCTGAGGGCCAGAGTCCTGTGTTTATATATGATCTGGACATTCCCGTCTGCATATCAGGCTCTCACCAGGCTTCCCGGGCCCTCCGGTGATAATCGTAAGATCTCACACCGTGTGCTGATGAAGGAGGCCAAGGGAGCCTCTGCAATGCCCATCCAGTCTCTCTGTGACACTGGGATTTTAACAGGGGCTTCCGGAAGGCAGTCAACCCATCACGAAATCATTCTGGGACCGCTAGGTCAGGTGGGAGAGGAAGGGGTGTGTGTCCAGGGCAGTGGGGAGAGAGCCCCCACACTCACACCTCTGAGGATGTGGCAGCCCATGCCCCAGAGGAGTCCCCAGTACAGGGTGGTTTTTCTAGAATTTTCTAGTGGGCAATATTATAGTCTCAACTGAGAGCCATTTTGCTCTTAGCGTTAGGGAATATCTGTCTTTTCCCTAAAACCTGAAGAGACACAACTGAAACTCATTTTCTCGGGTTGGCTTGGGACTGCCATCTGTCTGGTCGGTCCGTCCTGTCCTTCTTGCTGCCGACACCCTGCGGCCACAGACCCACTTCCCATTTGCTGCACACCAGGAGGCTCCTGAGGACGGCATCCGTCTTGGGCAGGGCTCCATAAGCACCTTAAGAAAGGTCAAGCTTTGCACACTTTCTAAGGAGGGGTGGTGGAGGGTAAGCAAGAAAAGAGCTGTCCGCGTGGTAAAATAATGTTTTATTCCATGGATGAACAAATGCTACCATGCCACATTCTCACTCCCCCCTGCCAGCTCTCGCAGCCGAAGCTGGCCTCCCCTGTCAGACCTCGTGGCTCTGCAGTCGGTCAAGCCCACTGACACCGCAGAAGCACGGTCACGTGGCATTCCCAGTGGGTCCTGCTGCTCGGGCCTGGGTCCTCGTCACACACGGTGCCCTCGGCCAGACAAATCCATGGTGGCGACCTTCCAACTGTGCTCACCCCAACGGACATCCAAAACTTCCGTGGCAGAAACCCAAAGCCCCGAACACCAAAAGCCACACGGACCGATGTTCTCTGCTGACGGGATGTCGAGGACCCCCCCTCCCCCGGCAGGACCAGAAGCTGGAGACGTCGGTGCTGCCATTCTGGCTGTTGACAGGCTCCGGAGCAAACCAGAGTGAGGGATAAGGTTTCGAACTAGCACTTGTGGGGAGCGCCGGTCAGCCACCGATCGGCATGCAGGCGACACGGTGAGAGCCGGTGGAGGGGCGGCGCCGTTCCTGTCTTTATGTACAACGAGACGGGATATACACTTGGGGGGGGCCGCTGAACCTGGGTCAGGGGACCTCCTACATGTCGACAGGCTGTCCACACACGGAGGCGAGGGCACCGAGTGGTCCCCAGGGCAGGAGGTGACGACACACACCCACGTATCCCCCCGCCCCCGGAGGACACGCCTGTCCCCTGCACAGGTGACAGACCCAGGGGCGGAGTCCACCCTTTGTCTTTTCTTGTTCTTTTTTTTTTAACCAAAGGCCATCTGAAAAGCCTCGACAACTCATCAAGGGGGAAAGGGATGGGCTTCAAGACACATGGAAATCGTGTGACTCTAAGCCAAATCCTAATGCAGCTTTGGGGGAAAGAAGTTTTATTTACGACTTTTCTTTCTTTCTTTCTTTCTTTTTTAGTGAATGGTATTGGATGTCTTTTTTCCCCTCAGTTTCTTTTTTCTTTTAGAAATTTCTCCACGAAGTCTCAAGACAGTCTCGAGGAGACAGCAGTTAGTTACTTCTGATCTGTTTCTTTATCCAGATGAGCGCAAAGCCTACACATGGACTGAAGAACACAAAGCCAAACAAAGAAAAGAAAACGAAACAAAAAAGGAAAAAAAAAAGAAAGAAAAAAGAAAGCAAGAAAGAACGAAGAGAAAAGGAAGAAAGCAAGAAAGCAAGCGAGCACAGCAGAACAACCCCAGGACCGGAGACAGTGTCAGGTATAAACCATAGAAAAATACGAATTAATTCCATAAGGTTAACCACTAGCATTAGCTACAGTAACACTGTGTGCAGCCCCTTAAAATACCGGGTCTCCTAATTACAGGAAGGAGCAAAGCCAATCTATGGACAAGTACGGTTACGGTCATTGTGCTATAGTGTGTCCGTGGCGCGGTGACAGGGGGCGGGAGGGGAGCTGCGGACAGGGGCGCGGCTGGCGAGCAAGGGCGGGTCTGCGCGCTCCTGCTTCTCAGCGGGGACTGGAGCGCCGGTTTCTTCTCTGCTGTCCATCCTTGGCTCTGTTCCCTGGGGAGAGGCCGTGGGATGCACCGGTCACTCTGGGGCCGGGAGGAGGCGAGGCTGTGGTTCCAGGCGCGGGGGAGTCTTCGTGAGCGGTGACATGTCTCGGCCTGGGAAGGAGCCGGTTTCCGGAGCAAAAGTGCCTTTGGGACGCAAGACACACATGCTGTGGGAAGTCACACTTCTTGCCCCGGCCCCGCCCCTGCGGACGAGGGAGGCGGGGTCCCCGCTGTACACTGTCAGGAGGAGCTCCCCCACCCGCAGCGCTCGGGGCTGGCTCCAGGTCAGTCCTCCTCCTCCTCCTCCTCTTTCGCGGTGGCCGCGGGCGGCTTGTCCTGAATCCGGAAGCATTCCACGAAGAAGCCGATGATGGATCGGTACAGGTGCTGGTGCAGGGAGGCACTGTGGAAGTAATGGCTTTCGTCCGGGTAGATCTGCGGGGAAGGCGGGGAGACGTTATGCCAGCGGTGGCCCCCGGGGGCCTGGGGACACGTGGGGGATGCGAACCCAGCACCGCCCAGACACCACGCACGCAGGGCTCCGTTTCAGCCGGCGAATCGGATTTCCCAAGCTGCTCCTCCTCTGGGAGGCTCCGCCGGGCACGGTGGGCTCTCAGGGAATCCGCGGGCTAAATTAGGACACGTTTTGTTCAACAGACACCGTCCCAGTCTGGATCTGCTGGTTCGGGTTGGGTACACACCCCGGGACCACAGGGGCTCTGGCCCAGGTCTCCAGGCACCAGGCTTCCCAAAGACGTGGGAAGAATTCTGGGCTGTCTCTACAACCCTCACCTGTCTTAGGCTTACCCTGGGGCCGTGGGCAGGGAACTTTCCTGAGCCTCAGTTCCCAGCTGTGCCAAGTGGAGATGGTCATCGTCACAGAACCCAGCTCAAAAAGTTTTGTGAGGATTCCACGCTTAAAGACCAGACCGCAGGGACCCAGTGTAATGACACCCCCTGTCCCCTAGGGGTGCTGCAGCGTTTCCACACAAAGGTACCCATTCCAGCAGGGACTCAAAGCCAAGTCTAACTGATGGGGAAGCCCACGCGCTTTCCATGACGCCAGGCTGCCCCCAGCGTTTGTAATCCTGCCTTCCTCCATGTCTCTGGAGTATTTTAGAGTACTTATAAATGATGCAATGGAGCTCTTACACAGACTTTAAAATGTCTGTAGTATAAAAAGACCCAAGGAAGGGTGTACATCTCTCCCGCTCTTGGTCCCCATGCCCTATGCCCTTCCCTGGAGTCGGCCACAGCTACCAACTCGCTGTGTGTCTGTGCAGACATGAGCCGTGCCTGCAGGCATGGCACTGGGCTGGGGTCCCTTTTATGGTCTCAAGTGTGGTCTACAATGCATCTTGCTCAAAACCTTGCTGATTTAGCTTGGTCTATGCCGTGGGGAGTGACCCACATTAGCACATGGAGACTCACCCTTCAACCTTCCACAGCTGTATTATTACGTGTCTAGAATTATTTAATAATACCGTAGCGACTCTCAACCTTACCATGATCTGAACACTTTCAGGAGCAAACTCAAAGCTAACACTAACCACGTCCTTCCTTTCCCCATTCATCAACACTCAGGCCAAACCCTTCCCTGCAGGAAGCTCCCCTTGCCTGCCCAGCCATCATGTGACCCTCCAAAGCAGTGGCGTGGCAAGGCCAGGGGCTCAGGACAGAAGGCAGGCAGCTATCCGTGCCAGGGTGTACCTAGTGGGCGAAATTTCCCATTTATCTCTAGACCTGAAAAGGCCATCGGGGTAAGATGTGTTTTCCCAAGGGAACCCATGGTCAGGAAGGAAACGGAAGATGATTCTAGAAGCAGCACAGTGCGTGGCTGGAAGGAGCCCAGATGTGAGCAGCTGGGTCAGTATTTGATGCCAGCGAAAACAAGCCTGTGAGTTTGTTTCGTGGAAGGGCAGCCCTCTAATGGCTGCTCAGCCACAGAAGATTCTGGAACATTCTTCCAGAATTCAGTGAACGTGTGTTGCTGTCTAGAGGGAGGCTGGTGGAGAAGGCTCAGGACCAGCACATGTAAAGCCCCCACCTCTCCAGGAGGCTGCTTGCATGTGTGCTGGTCAACAGCCCCCTCTTCACCTGCCAGGGCCACCTCCAGCCTCACTGTAGTGGTGTGTGGCCATTTTGGCCTCACTCATTGCCCAGAGGTGGGGGGAGGCAGTGCAGTTCTAACCGGCCTTGCACATGGCTCAAGGGCAGGATGGAGCCATCATCACCAATTACTAGAGAAGATAAGCACGCGCTAATTCGTCTGCCCGACGCGCCCTGCCCGCCTAGGACCACTGTGATGCGGGTGTCTGCAGGAATGGGACTAACTGGACACCCGTCGGTTCCTTTTCCACGGAAGGAGCGTGTCTCTCCGAGTGCGGAGCGGAGACATGCAAATGCCGTACCTGTAAGCTGTAATTAGCCTTCCCCTTAATCAGCTGCGTAATGAGTTCTGCCGTGTGCTGGAAATGGATTTTTTCTGTTAAAAAAGAGAGAGAGAGAGAGAGGAAAGGCCCGGTTAGCCCCTAACAGCATGACGGCGATGCTGAGATGCGGCGTCCTTGGCCCTTACCGTCCGCGGTTGCGTGAATGATCAGAAACTGCTGTCCTTCCAGGGCCGGCACGCGGTGCGCCACCTTGGTCATCTGCACACGCGGGGGCAAGGCGACAGAGTTAGTGGGCCCTGCTGCTGGCCAGAGGCTCCTCCTGGACCCCTGACTGAGAAGGTAGCCGGGGGCCCGGGGGCCAGTCTCGGGAGGACTGGGGGCTTTCGGGTGCCCTGCGGAGGTGCCCGTGTGGAGGAGGAAAGGGTGAGAGGGAAGGGGGCATGGGAGCGGTTTCACCCACTGCGGGTGGCCTCTGAGGGCCCTCATTTCCGCCAGTGCCACTGGGGGAGGACACCTGGCCAGACAGTCTGTGCACGGATCTCGGCTCTGAAACCAGGCCATCCCCCATCCCCGGTGGCAGAAGTGTGGCCACCACCTGCCACCAAGAAGCACCGCACGTGACACCCGCACTGGCCGCTCTGTGGCCATGAAGGAGCAGGTGGCATCAGGGGACTTTCTGTTGCCCAACCGATGGCCTATTTTACCAAAAATGGAGCCAGCCTTGGGGAAGGGGACCAGCAGTCATCTGTGCCCAACGAATGTGGACCCTGGGACAGACCCTCTGGCCGTTGGAAGACTTCCCTAACTCCGTCCTCGCCCCTCGGGTGCCAGAGAGGGAAACCGCACGGACCTGGGGGAGGCCCTGGTCCCCTCGGCTCACAGCCTGGAGTAGGGTCTTCTCAGAGTGAGTCTGGTGGGGGAGACAGAGGACACAGTGGGCCCAGGGAGGCAGTGTGGGTCCCAGAGCTGGGCAAGGGGCCAGAGGGACGGGACCGATCTCACCCAATTCCCTATCCTGCCAGACGGCCGGGGCACCCACACATACCTCGTACGCCCTGTTGTCAAGTCCATGCAGACCCAAGTACCTCTCGGAAAATGCAGACGCTGGACACAGGCAGAGGAAGGCAGGTTACCCAGGGCGAGGCCGCGCAAAGCCCCAGATGCAGGGGCACCCCCTTGCAGGGCAGATGTCTGCTTCTAAGACACCCCTCAACCTGCAGGTCTTTGCCCGGGGAAGCAGACAGCACCGTGCTAGCGTTCGAACACGCTAGAGTTGGTGGTCGGGTTTAAGCAACAGACCAAACCTTGATCAACGAAACCATTCATCTGAAGCCTCAATAAAGAGGGTAAGAGCTCCCCCCGCCGCCCGTCCTTTGTTTTCAACATGTAGGAAAGACAAATCCTAAAGAGCAGATTTTCATCTGGATTTGCCTTTTTTTTTTTTCTTTTTTAAGACGAGACATGTCCCATTCTAACTGAGTCCCTGGCTCCGGGTCCAGGTTCTGGGTGAGGAGCGGGTATCCACCTAGTCAGGACAGTCGGGATGGAAGGAGTTCCAGAAGCTTCTGCATTCTGGAGTAAGGGGAGGAGACCGTGCAGGACCCCTGCCTGGAGCACTGGGACCAATCAAGGTCCAGATGGTGCATTCACGTGCACTCAAATCAAGCACATTTGAAATAGCATGATTAAGAACTTTAAGGGGCACCTGGGTGGCTCAGTGGGTTAAGCCTCTGCCTTCGGCTCAGGTCATGGTCTCAGGGCCCTGGATCGAGCCCCACATCGGGCTCTCTGCTCGGCAGGGAGCCTGCTCCCCGGCCCCTGCCTGCCTCTCTGCCTACTTGTGCTCTCTCTCTCTCTCTGTCAAATAAATAAATAAAATATTAAAAAAAAAAAACCTTTAAGTCTCACTGAATTTAAAAAAGACAAAATGGCCTACATATCTTCCCGTGGGAAAATTAATTTTAAATTACGAAAACGTTGAACGAGAGGAGTTCTCACAGGACTAAGGTGACGTGCGCGCTAGAGCTTGGGGAACATCAGCGCGTCTTTTGTGAGCTCCGGCTGCAGGAGGCGGGGGCTGGGGCCGCCGGACCCTGTGGCGCCCAAGGTGCCGAGCTGGGGTCCGGGGGTGGGTGTGGCCAGGGTCCTGGTACCCTTGGCAGAGCAGCGACAAGGAGCCCTCTCCATTTCCCGTTAATCGGGCTGCTTTGTGCAGTGTAGCTGGGGTTCACGGCCCGGCCTCCCCACAGCCTAGGCCTGTGAGCCAGCTCTCAAAGCCCATAAGGAATACCTCGCCACGTGTTTTTAAAAAAAGCATGAAAAAATAAAAATAAAAATAAAAAATAAAAAAGGACGAACGTCACCAAAGCATCCAAAGGAGAGAAAAGGGGCCGGCTGACCAGGAGAGTGTGGGAAGCCTCGAATCCCAAAACTGAGCCCAAAGAGCCACGGTGGTGCCTGGCAGAGGTCCGGTTCCCATACGTGGGAGGCCTGCCCAGTGTCCGGTCGCCCAGTCTGCCATCCTGACGCCCCATCCCAGGCCTCTGCCTCCTGCCTGTTCGCCAGGCAAGGTGCTGGCCACGTGCCACCGGCACCCCGGGAGGAGGCTGAGTACAGCTTAGCTGCCAGGCCTCCACCGGGTCGCCACCAGGCGGCCGTCCCCTCAGCCACCCCCCCCCACAGCCCTCCTCAGGGAATCCCTGCCCAAACAGGCCCCAGGCCCCCAGACACAGAGCGCGAGCAGTGCTCCTGCCCCAATTCTGGCGACAGAGGGGCCCCCGTGGGACAGCAGCTAGGGCCTTCCAGCCAGCACGCCCGCAAGGCTGCCGCTCCAGCAGGGGCCCCCCAGGCCAGGGTCTAGCTCCGGGTCTCCTGTGTCGGGAAGGGGACACACAGGCATCGGTGGGTTGACCACTTCCATCTAACTAGTGACCTGAAGCCCTCCCTCCCCTGCCTGGCTTCTCTCCGGGTCACTCGTTAGCCGCCCGGCCCCTGGTGGCCTCCCCTTGGTGACGGGTGTACGGAGCGGGGGCAGCAGGTGGGAGCACGGTGAGAGGGGAGCACGGGGCCGGGTCGGTGACCTCACGACCCTTACCGTAGAGCTTGAAGTCCGTGATTGGAGAGAGAGCAGAGCCACAGGTGAACACCTGAGCCTGGTTTTCCCCCTTCGCAGGGAGGATGTAGGTGCTCAGATACCCGCCGTAGTCCTGGGACAGAGAAAGGGGGTGAGTGGGTGGAACGTCAGTGACGCTCGTGAGAACCGCGCAGATGTGAGGTCAGCAACTCGGCACCGCCATCGCGTCATTTCTGTTAGAGAGGAAAGAGGATGAAAGGCAAACTCCACCCCAACTAGATACACAGGATGCATGGCCTCCCCTCTCGGGGTCCCATGTCAGGCAATGTAGAGATGACGGGAGGGCAGCCGTGGTGGGGGGCCGGGACGGGCTGTGCGCGTCGAGTCACATCGAGCCCTTCCAAGTCATCCTTTCCTTGTGGTGTGTGTGCTGCCTTTCCGTCTCCAGCAAAGCCAAGCCCCTCAAAGTGATGCAGGGCCGGTGAGGAGCCTGTGCCAGAGGGCCCAGGTACCCGTCTGCCAGGATGCCCACGTCAGTGTGTGCGGAGATAGGCGTCCACGCGGGCGTGGGACACGGCAGCTCCTTTAAGTCCTATAGTGCCCTGAGCTCGGGGCTGACAAGCAAGACCCCTGCTTCACCCGGGCCGTCCAGAGAGGGCATGGCCTGACCAGTGATCTGCCATGGGCGCCTCTGAAGCCGCGTGGCTCAGGTGTGTCCCCTCCCCCGACACGGATGGGAAGCTGTGATGAGCAAATGTGGGAAGGGGCAGGAGCAGAGCCGCAAGGGAACCAGGTGTGTTCTCCTGGGGGCCTGGGGCTGTTGAAGATGCTGTGTGTGTGCATGGGCGTGTGTACTGGTGTGCGTGTGCATGTGCATGTGTGTGCTCGTGTGTGTGGGACTGTGTGTGCTTGTGCATGTTTGTGTGTTCACAGGTATGTGTGCACGTGTGTATGCTGGGGTGTGTGTGCATGTGTGTGTGTTGGGGCATATGAGTGTGTGCACGTGTGCATACGCAGGGTGTGTGCATGTGCTGGGGTGTGTGTGTACATATGTGTAATGGGAGTATGTGTGCATAAGTGTATGCATGGGAGTGTGTGTGTGTACTGGGGTGTGTGTATGGGTGTGTGCTGGGGCATGTGCGTGCATGTGTGTGTATGCGAGTGTATGTGCATGAGTGTGTATGCTTGTGTGTGTACCGGGGTGTGTGTGCATGTACACATGTAGGGTGTGTGTGCACGTGTGTGGGGAGTGTGTGTTGCATGTGTGCATGTGCATTTATGTGTGTGCTGGGTGTGTGTGCTGGGGCTTGTGCATGCCTATGTGTGTATGGGAATGTGTGCGTGCATGCGTGTGTGTGGTGTGTGTGTGCTGGGTGTGTACATGCATGTGCGTGGTGTGTGCCTGTGTGTGCTGGGTGTGCGTGTGCATGCGTGTCTGCTGGGGTTGGAGGGTCGAGTGTGCAGAAGCCACAGGCCTGACGGAGACGACGGGGCAGGCCCTGCCGCGCCAGCCTCACTGCAGAGCGGACCCTTCAGACTGCGTGCTAGTTCATCACCCTCTCATACCGTTCCTTCCACAGAATGGGGATATCTTGTCTTAATGACAATAAAAGCATCTTTTTAGTTTCTAGTTTATGATTTTCATTGTCAACAGAATCGGTAAGTCCTCACATGTCATCCCACCACTCGTTTTCAAAAAAACGTGGACTGACGACCCCGCGCGCCGGTGGGGATGGGGAGCACCAGGACCCCTCACTCCCAGCTGGTGTGGACGCCGAAGGGGCAGCCCCGTCGAAGACAGTGTGGCGGTTTCTTACAAAACGGGACGTACTCTACCATGTGACCCAGCAACCACCCTCCTCGGCATTTACTCAAAGAAGCTGAAAACTTACACGCACACAAAAACCTGTGCCTGGAGGGCCACACCAGTTCTACTCACAAATGCCCGAACCCGGGAGTAGCTGAGTGTCCACACAGGCGCTGTTCCTGGCACGTTATTCTGTGCTGAGAAGTGACGAGAGCTCGAGCCACGAGACCCGGGACGTAAGCTACCAGGTGAGAGAGGCTGGTCTGGAAAGGCTACGTGTGCGTTTGAGGAGGAGCGAGCACTGACCAGAGACGGGCCTGGGCCGAGGGTCCCTGCCTTGGCCTGGCCCGGCCATCCACCCGTCCCGTGTGGGTACAGCGGGGTGACAAACACTGACACCCAAAGTCACACTTACGAATGATCCCAGTGGCTCCGAGCCCCTCACAGGCACTAACTGGTCCCCGCCAGCAGGGACAGAGCCTCTAGGACTCTGCGCCCACGCTCTGGTCTGTCCCTGAGCCTGAGAGAGAAGCCATCGGGCCCTTCCCTCTGCTGCTTCACCTCCGGAGGGACCCCAGGAGGCCATCTGGGGTCACCACGTCCCAAACGTATGCTGCCCTCTGAGAACGCTGGGCAATGACTTAAGAGGTTCCAGGGGCGATGACTTAAGAGGTCGTCTCCGGATTCCGTCTTCAAGCCTCCACCCACCATGATGTCACTGCAAGGTGACCTGTGCTCCGGTCGCGCTCCTGGAGGGAAGCCGGGTCTGTGCCCGTCCCTCTGTGCCTCACTCCCTTGCGATCAAGAGGCACGGATTCAGGCTAAGAATGGGGGTGAGGGGTGTGTGCCCAGCTGACACCAGCTGCCCCCACGGGCCTGACTTGCAGCCCTGGGCCTACAGCCCATGGCCGTGGGCAGCCCTGCGGAACAGGAACCGCCTCCTTCCCTCCTTCCGGGTCGGCAAACCTACAAATTAATGTGGTCCCTGCTCATGGAGATACACAGAAATAAAGACCCCTGCCCGCCCTGCTTCCCAGGGTACCACACCAGGTGCCGCGGCTTCCGTAAGAAAGGGGTTAGGGACCTAATGAAGTGCTCTCACGGGATCTGGCTTCTCATTCTTCCCTTGCACAGACGGAGACAGAAACTCTGAGACCTGAGCCGGTCGAGGGAGCCCTGCTGGGATCTGTCCGCGTCTGGCCTCATGCTTTCAGCAGAGCCGTAGGCTCTCACGGCAGGAGACCAGAGACCTTCCGGACAAGCCCCGTCAGGGCTGGGTGAGGGGGTGGGCAGGGCTCTCGGGTGGGGGCGGGGATGGGGGCGCCCCGACCAAGCTCGGCGCGGGCTCACCTTCCCGAACACGGCCACGCGCGTCTTGTCAATGTACTGCTCCTTCAGCATCATCCTGCAAGGCCAACGGAGAGAGGGGAGAGTGAGCGCACCCCATGTTTATGGTCTTTCCTAGCGCACGGACACGGGCAGTAAGTCCACACTGAAGGCCTCAAAGAGCCCAGGCGAGAACGGTCTGGGTCCCTCCGACTTGCCGACCCAAAGCCGGGAATGCAAAGCAGCCCAGACCGTTCTGGAGACCAGGCGCTGTGAGGTCCCTGTCCTCGGCTACCATCTGCTCCTCACTTGGACCGTGGGACTCCCAACCGCCCCACACTCTGGGAGGGTCCTCCGGGATCTGGAGAGCAGACCCTGGCTCTGAGCTAAAGGGCTTGGAGTCAGGCGCCGGGCTCTCACCGCACCTGCCAGGTCCTCTGTCCCCAACTCCAGTGGGGGGCCCCTGCCTCGTGCTTCCTGCCTTGGACACTAGCAGCTCAATGGCCCTGCCGGTGCTGCTGGCAGATGACCAGCTGCTTCCTGGGTCTCTGCAAGTTGCTTCCCTTCATGTGTGCGCCCTCCCCTACCCCATACAGCCCCGTCCCCCCATTCCTGCACGCTGCTGATCATCCCCTTGCTTGTCTTCTGGGTTGTGCTGGTTGGCTGGAGCCGTCCCATCCCTGACAACTGCCCACCTAGGCCAGAGCTGAGCCGAACGCTCTGGGTGCCATGTCCTCAGAGCCAACATGCGAAGGACCAGCCCTCCTCCCCAGCTTGGAGCAACGCTGTCCCCGACTTTCCTGATGGAGGAAGGTCGTGAAAGAATGTCAGAAGTTGGGCCTAGAGGCCGCCAGCCCCACAGAAGTGGGAAAGAGAAGGAGGTTGGAATCGGCAGATCACGAGAAGATTCTGTGCTTGAGCAGAAGTGCTCACAGGAGCACGAGCGAGATTCGGGAACAAGTGGGAGATACCACGAGTAGGTCCAGAGAAAGATTCTCAAGAGAAAGACAGAGCAACACTTCCAGAACTAAAAAATGCTGACAACAATGGGGCACGAGGTGGGCGACCTGCTGCGTAGTGAGCCACGTCCCCGATGGTCCTTCACCCCCAAATACTGATCTAACGAGACACGGTCGGGGTGCAGAATGGCTAAGTCCTCACCTGCCCCGCCAGACAGCATGAGATGGGAGCTCATGCTGCAATGACAACTGTGCTCTGGGCCACGGAGGGCTGGGTGTGGTGGCCTCTGCCCGACAGGCCTGGTGGGAGGGAGCAGGAGTAGAGCAAGGGACTCTGTTGTTGATTTCAACAGTGGTTATGGGTTAAACTCCGAAAATTACGGTCAAGTCCCAACCCCTAAAACCTCAGAGTGAAATCTCAGAGTGTTTGGAAATAAGGCCATCAGATGTAGGTAGTTAAAAAGAGGTTAAAGTCCGTGCCCTTGATCCGGTGTGACCGGTGTCCTTAAAAGAGGACAGACCCAGAGACCCAGGAGGAGTGCCATAAAGAAGGAAGATTACAGTCACGTGTCTGCGAAGCCAAGGGACAAGGAACAAAGCCAAGGGACAGTCTGTGGGGACCACAGAGCGAGGAGTGAGGCACGTGCACCACGACGGGCTCCGTTCCGACTTGCGAAATGACTTGGATTTCCACCCTCAGCCTTCTGCCCTCCAAGTCCGCAGAACCGTGGGCCTTCGGCCACCCTTTCCTCTGGTCACCGAGTGACTCACCTCCTGACGTCAATGCCAGAAATCTCGATACTGACCCCCACTGATAAGTTACTCAGGAATCTTCCAAGGGTGGTTGTTTTTTCCAACATCAACTACTTTTGTCATCTTGTACCTGTATTTTTGCCGACAAACCAAGCAATTCCCACGTGGTGACTTGTCTTCCGGTGAACAGCGGAACCCCAAGATCAAGGAGAGCCCGATTTCATGTGCGGGGAGCACTTGGTATTGCTGGGGTGGTCTGAGGCCAGCAAGAGCCGAAGTGAGTCCATCATGTGCTTATCTTTATGGAGCACGTCCTGAGATCGGTTCCATGCTGGTCTGCAGAGGCCCCGGGGGAACAGGCCTCCAGCCCTCTAGAAGCGTGGTCTACTGAGAAGGGGGGTTAGCACGGGGACGCGGCGTGATGGGAGGCCTGCTCGCTGACTGGTGTGGCCACCGCTGAAGTGGCTGCGGGCAAGCCAGGAGCTGGTCAGCGTGGGTGAGACCGAGGTCAGGAGAACATCTCATGGGCGGCGGCACAAGGTCCTGGGTGAGCAGGGCTGTTCGTCTTCAGGTGGGGGGATAGGGTCAGAGAACCCTCCACGGTGCCTGTGCCACCTAAGCCATGCTCCCAGCCACCGAGCACAACAGAGCCCTACAGCGAGGCCTCGGTGGCCTGGCGTGGGGTCCTCCACTGGCTCTCTTGGCAATGGGCTCCCCATCACCCTGGTGGAGCCTCTCAGAACCTGGCTGCCACTGGGAGACCCCCCTTCCCACCTGGCCCTCCGTCCCCCCACCCCCGCACAGTGGCAGAGTCCCCTGTAGCCTGGTGTCACTCATGCCCTGGCATCCTTCACAGACAGCCCCCGTCCAACCCTCTGGCTAAGCCGACCCAGGCACCCTTCTTGGGGACCCAAGCTGACACAGGTGCCACGGCACCCTCGGAACGGGGGAAGCTCACAGCCCGGGCTTGATTCGGCAAGAAAGAGGAGCCAACGAGGGTGGGGGGAGAAATACAGCCAGCGCTTCTGTCCTGCTCTGTGTGATGGGGGCGGAGGGCATAGCACGGTGAGGCTGCTGACCCAGTGGGCCCCGGGACAAAGGCACAGAGGCGGAAGAAGATGGGAGAGTCACACAATGGGCTGGGGACCACCGCCAGCCGCATGGTTTCTTAAACTTCTGATAAAACTGGGTTATTTCTTTCTGAAATGAAAACACAGAGGCCCAGACCCTAAATAAAGCTTGGTCGAGTGCTCTGTGGCTTGAGACATCGGGACCTCAGCTTCCCGCATGTCTTAAGAAGGCTGTAAGGTTTTCAATGGTTTGTGTGTCTTCGTGTTTGCAAGCCTCGGTGGCCCAACTGTTGACGCTATTTACTGTCTTTCCAGAACAGGTTCTGCCTTGTTTTTTGAACAGATGGCCAGATCAACTCCTTATTTTTAGAAAACACCGTGAGTGTGAAGCAACCCTTTGCTCTCTTGTTCCCGTGCTCGGAGGGGAGCGACCAGACCCAGCCAAGGACCTGCAGGGGTGCGGGCTGCCAGTGTGCCTGAAGGACGCTGCGACCTTCCGCCCGGGCCTCTGGGGCAAGGTACTCTGTGCCCCACGCTCCACAGGGCCCATCAGAGCGGGGTGGGCGAGGAGGGGCACCGAGGGAGGAAGGCTTTGCCTCCATGTCACAGGGCAAGCCCCATAGCCGCTGATGGAAGTCCCACCCCCACATCCAAGTCCCAACAGGACCCCTGCCCTTTTCCTAAGAAGCCTTCCTTGGCAGACACTGCTGTCTGCTGACCTGGCCTCCACCTTGTCCTCCCCCTTCCACACAGAACCCTAGAGCCCTACTGTCCACCTTTCTTCCCCTGTTCCCAGCTACATGGGGGGACCCCCTAGGTCTCAGGGTGACAGCCCACACCTCTCTGGCCAGTCAGGGGTCCTGGATTCTGGACTGGTCAGGGGCATGTAGGGGGGGTTTGGTGGGTGCTTCTGGGGAAGCTCCTCCCCTCTTTTCTGGAAGTTTCTGGAAATGGCTCCCTCCCCAACCTGCCAGAGGTGAATGAAGAAGCAAGGGCTGAGGTGCTCCCGGCAGCCATCCTGTGAGCAGGAGGAGAGTCGGCTCTGGAGAAGGCCGAGAAGCCTGGCTGAGCAGAGCGACAAGAGAGCCTGGGTTTTGGGCGGTACTGCTGAACCCCGAGGCCTCCCATCACTCTGGACTTCCAGAGCCGGGATAGTTCCTTATTTCAAAAGCACGTTTGACTTTGCCTGCCTGTGTGTTAGCTCCCAGGCAAAAGCACCGTTAGGATATCCTTCTCCGACCATCGGCCCCCAGACGCTTCCCCTCCCCTGCATTTTCTGACAGGGCCCTGGGCACATCGCCTCGTCTCCTCAACCAGCTCACAGTGCCCTTGAACAGAGAGGACCGCTCCTTCGCTCACTCATTGCTTCACTCACTTACAATGACCTAACTCAGCCCACACAGCGGCCCCCGACCTTTTCAGAAACAATGTCACAAGTCAGGAAGGTGAAATGTTTCCGACGTGCAAAGCACAGAGCCACGGCAAGAGCGGGGACGGGACAGCACGCTTCCTCGCAGCCCTCCAGGGCACAAGCATTTGTCATCTGCACATCGTGTCCCACCGTGTCCACGTGCCCGGGGGCCAGCGTCCTGAGCTCCTCTTCGCGGGGAAGACGACTGTTGTCACTAGAGGCCCCGTTCCGTGGGTTCCCCAGCCCCTCCCGTCATTCCCCGGACACAAGCCTGCTGACCGGCCGAGCGGTTCGGCAACATCTCCCGGCGGCTGGGTCATGTCCACGCCGCAGTCCGCAGGCCGGTGGACCGTGAAAAGCCTCGCTGCCTGCAGAGCACGAAGGCCGGCGCCAGCCGGGAATGGGCTCTTGATGTCTTTTTTCCAGGGCGACAACGAAAGTCCGGTCGTTTTGAGCATCTGTCCCTGGTGCTCAGCCTCCTTCTCTTCCCTGCTGGTCCCTGCTCAGCGGCCAGCATGCGCGGCGACACGAGACAAGGACGGGCCATGCTTTGGGGCCGAGTGGGCTTTTCTGAGCGACCCCCTGGGTGCCAGGATCCTTTCCTCTGTCCCCCACCCCCATTTCCCGTCTTTCCTGCCTCCCCGCTCTCTCCCTTGTGATGAATGGCGAAGACGTGTGTGTGTGTGTGCCTGCGACCACGGCGTTGCGGAGCCGAGCCAGTCCCACCCACAGGCTCAGCACCTTGTTTTCGTCCACACACGAGCTCCCTGGTGGCTCGGCGGAAACTAGTATAAAAGTCTCGGGAAACGTTACTAGAAGCTTCCCCAAAGGCCGCCTTGGAATCGCCCACGGAGTGCTGTGAGCGTGAGCAGATCGCGGGGGACCCCGCGTGCCGAGCAACCCTGCGACCAGGGTCCCCCCCGCCCCTCCCCCCAGCACCCCCAGGGGTCCTCACCGCACAGCCTCCATCTGGTCCTTTTCCTCCAGGGCGCCCAGCCTCCGCCCCACCTCGTGCAGGAGCTTGGTCCCCTGGAAGCCGCTACCGCGGCCATCGCACTTGACAACCACGGCGCCATGGCCGCTCACCAGCACTGTCTCCCAGGTCACCGCGAACTTCTCGGCCACGCTCTGGCTGCCCGGGGCGCCGTCCCTGGAAGAGAACCCGCGGCCTCGGTCTGCGGCGAGTGGCCGGCCCCATGGACACCCGTGTCCCCCGGGTCCCCGTGCGGGGGCGACAGGCCGCCCGCCGCGCCTCGTCCCTGGCGACTGGCTGGCCGGGATGGGGACCTGGGTGCCACGCTGAGGCATGGGCGACGACGCTCCCAAAGTCTTCTCCCTCTTAGTCGGACCGGGACGAGTGGGGCGACGCCAGCCTCTGCGCGGCAACAGCAACGGGCGGCCGCCGCCCCGAGAGCCAGCCCGCCGACTGTGCTGGCTGGGCCCGGCCCACGGAGGTGACAGCTCCCGCTGCCCCCGCCGTCCTGGTTTTCCCCAGGGACCGAGGGCGTGAGGGCGAGGGGGCATGTTCGTGTGTGTGAGATGTGTGTGAAGTATGTGTAACTGCGTGTGACGGGTGTGCAAGGTGTGTTTGTGAGAGATGTGATGAGTGTGGATGCAGGTATGTGCGTGAAGGATGTGTAAGCGGTGCGTGTGTGACGGGTGTGTGAGGCGTGTGTGACAGCTGTGGGAGGGGTGTGGGGGTGGGACGGGTGTGTGAAGAGTGTGTAGGGGTGTGTGTGCAGGGTATATGTGAGGTGTGTGTATGAGGTGAGTGTGACCGGTGTTTGTGTGTGGGTGTATGTGAGGTGTATGTGTGAGGCATGTGTGTGAGAGGCGTGTGTGACAAGTGTGTGAGGAGTGCATAAAGGTGTGTGTGGAAGGGGTGTGTGAGATGTATGTGTGTGAGGGGTATGAAGGCTGTGGGATGTGTGTGAAAGGGTGTTGAGGGGAGTGTGTGTGTGAGGGACGTGTGTGTGGGGTGTGTGACGGGTGTGTGAGGCACGCGTATGGTTGTCGGCCCAGTGCTAAGCCTGCCCGACAGGGGAGCGGGGTAACAGCAGACGGAACTGACCCGTCGGGGGCAGCTCCGTGGCGGCTCGGTTGGCTGCCGGGGGACCAAGCCCCGGGCCCAGGAGCAGGCTCAGTCCGGTGCTGCGACGCGCACTCAGGCGCGAGCTTTCCCCGCGGTCCTGCGACCACACGGCCGCCGCCGCTCTGCCCCAACCGCCTTCCCGTAAGCGCGTGAGGGCTGCTCCCGGGAGGCCGTGGCTGAGCTCAGCCCCCGCATGCTCCGCGCCCCGAGAGAGCACACGGAGGCGGAGAGAGCGCGTGTCGCACATCTGGGTGGCGTCTGCCCTTAAAAACCCCTCGCGCGCCCGCGTGAACCCTGCACTTGGCCTGCGCCACCTGCGGGACGTGAGCCCTCGGGGGCCTCGTCCCGCGCCCGTCGGGGCTCCCAGCCCAGCGTCCCCAGCCCCGCCCGGCCGAGCCTGTTCACAGCCACGGTGCTGCCGCCCGCCCGGGAAGACCTGCTCGGGCCTCGGACCACGAGGGACCGCGGTGAGGGTGCGGCCCCCGCCTGTGCTCGCCGGGCCTGAGTGCTGGAGGTGGCCTGGCCCGCGTCCCCATCTGCTCTCCAGCCTCCTTCCTCACGCTCGTCTTTCAAGGGTTCCGTTTGGGTCCCCACGGTGTCACTGGGTCCCCAGGCCAGCACCCCGAGGCGGCGGCGACGGTACTCACACCACCAGCAGCAAGGGGTAGTGGGCGGTGTCGGTGAAGGTCGCCGGCTTGAGGATCTGGACGGGCAAGTCTAGGCACAAACAGAACACAGGGCGGCACGTCAGGGGCAGCGCGCCCCGGGAAGGAAGGGGCGCTGGCCACGGCGTGCCATGGAGTGCCACGGAGGCCTGGGAGAAGGACACTCTGGAGGGGACTTGGGTGGGTCCCCCCACAGCCCCGGGGCTGGCCCTTCTACCTCAGTGACTCTGGCCTGCTGAGTGACCTCAGGCAGATCGCCCAGCCACCTCGACACTGAGCTTCTCCAGCTGAAGCTTAAACCCAAGCTTGCAAACAGGGTGCCGAAACCCAGAGAAGCCTGGAAGGCCGCAAACCCTTGTCCACAGCCGGATTCCAGGCTGGGAGAAATGAAATCGCAAGGACGCCACGTGTCTGTGCCCGCAGCGGTGCCAAGACACACAGTTGAGTGGGGACGGACGTCGGGGGGCCACGGGGATGGGGACAGGATGACAGCGGGGCGCGGGCGGCCGCCCAGAGGGCGAGGCTGGGAGCCGGGGCGGCCCCGCCGTGTGCAGGTTGGTGCCGGCCACCTGACTGCCCGCAAAGCCACCACCAGGGGACAGCGAGAGCGGAGGCGAGGGGGTTGTGGCGCGAGCTCCTTCAGATCTTGGCCTGGCAGCCGCAGACCCCGTGTGGGAGGGAGGGGGCTCCCATACCAGTTTCTTCTGTCCCCCTCCCCCCAAACACACCTTCCTGCCCAAGTTAGAAATTGTTTATTGATGTCGACTACAGCCCAGATTAGCAATCAAATTGGAATTAGTAGCTTTTTCACCACGATTACTACGGATACATCCCAGGCTGGGGGGCGGGCTCAGACGCCGGCTCCGACCAGGCACTCATTACTGATTCCGGCTGAATGTTAATGGCTTGCAAATTGGATCAATGGCCCAGGGACGTGCAGAGAGGCAGGCGTCTGACTTTATCATGCAACATCCATAAAACATGGTCTGGGCTGCGCTCTGCCGCTGATGAGTCCGCGGGCGACCTCGGCCACGACTGATACATACAGGGCCGGGAGCCCTTCCTGAAGACGGACTGTTTCCCGAAGGAGAGCCTGAGCCTCCAGTGGCATGAAATGAAAAAATAAAACATAACCAGACAGGTCGGGAGGAAAACGTCTTGCAGACTGTGACCCCAGAGGGGTGACATTCAGGTGACAGTCCCCGCACACGCCTATTTCCTAGCACCTGCGTTCCCACCCACCTAGCAAGGAAACCTTGCACGGGGAGGAACTCCAATGGCAAGGGTGGGAGAGTTGATGATTTGTTTCTAAAGGTCTTTGTCTGCATTTTCGGAGGGGATGGTGTTAGGATTTGGGAAACTGCTGGGATAGCGTGTGTGCATTGGCGTGGAGAAGGAGGGCAGCAGGCCCAGGAGATGAAGAATTTTGTAAAGAAATACGATCTGGCCTCGCTGGCTGCGATAGGAAGCAACGGACATGGGAAAATCTGACGGTATGTTCCAGAAAAAGTACTGCCGGGGTTGGGGGTGGGGCAGGAAGTTGAAGTCTGACCACGGAGGGCCTCCAGGCCGGCTGCACAGCCTGGGCAAGGACCCTGTGGTGTGCAGTGGGAGTAAGCGTGAACGATGAACCCCGTGCTGTCATGTTGCACCGGGGCCTAGAAATGTTGGAGCCTGTCTCGAGGTCTGTGGACAGACCTGGGAGGTAACGGGGTCGGAACCAAAGCGTGGACATTGCTCACCTATTTATTCAGCCGTCCTGCCATCCTTCTGTCCTTCCGTCCCTCCCTCCCTCCATCATTCACCCACCCCCCATCAATTTAAAATCATCCTGCTGTTTTCCTGCCGTTTGGTTCTTCCCTACAGAAGAACATGGCACCAAGAAACACGCAGTTTGTTTAAGGTTCTCATGAATTTGAGTCTGTTCTGAGTAACTGGACGCCAGGGTCCGTGTGGACCTTGCCCAGCTGCGCTCTGCGGGGGCCGCCCAGATTTTCCTCTGACCTGCTCCTGTGGTAGGCGGAGTCCCTGACGGGCCCTCCATATGCGGGTTCCCCCGATCTGCCCAGTGTAGCTCTCTTCACGGAGCAGCAGGGACAGGGGTGGGATTTAAGACAAACAAGCCGAGACCCCGGGGGAATCCATCAGGAGCTTGGTGTCACCCCGGGCCACACGCCCGTGCTTCTTGCTGGTGTGTCCCTGTGTCTTCCGATCGCCATCAGAGCCGGGATTCCCACGGCTCCTGTGTGTCCTCATGCTCTGCTGGTCTTGGGAGCATCTTGCCCCCTCGTTCTCAGCTCTGCCGCTTCCCCTGAGCCCTGATGGAGGCATCTGTGCACAACGTAGTCTGCGTGTCTACGTCCTTTTGGTTTACTGCTCTTCTTGCTCTGGCCAATCAGCCTGCCTGGGCGCCCACGCTGGGCCCGCAGCTCCCTGGACGCCCCCCGCGGGGCTTGCCGCTGCCTGAGCGCCCCCTGCTGGGCCTGCCTCTGCCTGGACGCCCAAAGCTGCCCGTGGCTCTGGGCCGAGTGGGTCCTGTGGAATCTGAGCGCATCTCGTGGAGACCCAGGAGAAACTCAGCGGGCAGGGATGTGGTGGGAGTGACCCTTGGACCTGTGGCAAGAGACCCCCAGGGCCCTCACCACATCTCCCGGTGGGGGCAAATGTGTTGTTTTCCAGTTTGTTTCTTCTCCTTCCCCATTCATCTCCTTCATCGTCTCCCTCGTCAGAAGGATCACCTTTGGGGTCTTTTAAAAGAGAAAGCCTCGGGGCCCAGAGGCAGGGGCCAGGATTTGGCATGTACTGTATTTCTTGATTTTCAGAAGTGAGTGCGTAACCCCACCTCATCTCTAGCACCGTGGAGACAAGCTCTAACAGACTCCGCAGGGCCCACTGATAGGACCAGGGAGTTTTGGCCGGCAGCCTATGGATGGACGGAAGGTGCTTCTGAGTGAGCGGTCCCTGTGGGTCCGCTGACACGTGGGGACTCTCCCCCAGGCGTGAGTCCAGGTCAGGCTCCTGACTCTCCCCTCAGTGAGCGCCGGCTCGTGCTGCTCCCTCCCGGACAGCACTCTCCGCTCCTGTGGCTACCGTAAAGCCCACTCCAAGGACTGTCCTAGTCCCACCTTCCTGGGAACCTTCAGGTGACGTCAGCCCACTCGTGCTGTCCTGAACTCCCGGCCATTTCTCTGCCATATACACTGTCTGGTCACTCTGCTTCTGCTTCATGGGGGTGAGCCTGGGCTTCTAACCTTGGGAGGTCACAGACTGTCAGGTCGCTGTGTTTTTCTTACAAGGGGATGCTTAATAATGCCCCTGGGCCTGCTGGCCCAGGTGAGGAGCCACTGCCCTTCTGTAAGGGAGCAGGTAGGGAAGGAGCCTCCAGGGATGGGCTAGGGCGGCCAACGAGGGCAGGGGCACAATGACCCCAGCCCCCACCCCTGCAGTTCAGACATCATTCCTCCATCTCAACCCTCTCCGTCGACCCCTGGTGACCTACTCATCTTCAACAAAGAAATCCAGCAGTGACGGTCAGTCTGGCCGTGTCAGCCCAGGAGAGGAAAGCTATTTGAGAAGCTGAGTGATGGGTGGACAGAGCTGAATGAAGGTTGGAGCCTATCTTGTTTGAGAGAAGAGTGCTGTCTCCCAAAGCAGGGACAGCTCTGGGGTAAAGACGTGTTTGGGGGCGTTGTGTACATGGGTTTTCCAAGGGCGAACATCTGGCAGCAGTGAGGCTGCCAGGGTGGGCTGGGTTGACCCGGGCGGCCCTCTCTAGGGAGGGAGAGTGAGGCTATGAGGACTCTGCTTCCCTCCTGGAGACAGGAGTCCGCTTCCGGCCAGGGGTCCGGGGATCCAGCACAGCACCTGTGCTCGTAAAGAGAAGGGACAGCTGAAGACAAAGAGGGACACAAGGAAAGGCCAAGTGCTGGGCGCTTTCAGGTGTGACGGCACACCAGTCCTTTGTGGGACCATCTCTCCCGTCGCAAGGACGCCTCCTCGACCCATGAGCATCACCGAGAGCTTAGACGATGAAGCAGGAAAACATCAGACGAACAGAAAAGAAATTTCCAGAGGAAGGATGTTTCCTCTGGATGGTGTCATGACTTGTTTCCCCCCAAAGGAGAGAATTTTGGCCTGGGACCTTATTTACTGTCAGCCTCTTGAGGACAGAAATCCATGCTCCCCTGTTTTTTTGGTCTGTTGCCCCAGGGGTGTCTTGGTTCTGAGCACAGTAGGCCCAGGGCAGGATGCGCTCCCCCACGAGCCCAGCCTGAGTCTGCCCCCGCGCGGGCTGGGACGCATTTCCAGCCAGGAGGCCGGGAAGTGGGGCGTGGGGGAGCCTCAGGGCACAGCAGTCCCCTGCCAGCCTCCGGGCTTCCCCTCGCAGGAGGACAACGCGGCACTTACTGTAATCATCAACCTCGACCTTCCTGTATTCCACTTTGGGCATCTGTCGGTCACGCACGGCCTTCTGTACACGCTCATTTGTTTCTAGATCAAACATTTCTAAGAGAGAAAGAGAAACGACACATTCAGACTCAGCGATCATTTACTGAAGCCACCGGCTTTCCTGCGGGTCAGCCCGCGATTTCCTACATCAGGCCCGGAGGGGATGGTTGTTATTTCTTTTGTGCAGACCAGGAAACTGAGACAAGGGGGACACCTTGTCCTCAGGTCAGGGGCTTGGGCAGGTGGAGGATTCTTTCCACCGTCTCAGGTAGACCCTCCACCGCCCGCAGGTTGTCGTTCCCATGGCACCGCTCACTCCCATGTATAGGTCTGGGTATTTATTTTTTTTAAGATTTTATTTATTTGAGAGAGAGAGAGCATAAGCAGGGGGAGTGGGAGAGGGAGAATCAGGTTCCCCGCTGAGCATGAAGCCCGATGCGGGGCTTGATCCCAGGACCCGGGGATCATGACCTGAGCCAAAGGCAGACGCTTCACCGAGTGAGCCACCCAGGCGTCCTGGTCTGGGTTTGTTTCATCCCCAAACTGCTGATTTCAGAAAACCAACATCACATATCTGTTAGGACGATGACCTTCCAAATGCAGTGGCCACGATAACCACAGAAGGCAAGGAGGGTGGAGGCTGGAGTGTGCTCTTCATTCAAATTTTGTAGGAAAAGTGGATTCCGATCTCTTATCCGACTCATGATGTGATCTGGTTTAGGACACCCTAATCTGGATGTCCCTACCAGCTGTTGGGGGCCACAGGGCACAGCACAGTGGGACCGGCCCTTTTCCCTCCAAATTAGCAGGAGACGGTATAGCCTGGGCTGGGTCCTCACAGGCAAGTGAGTCCCGGCGGTGTTTCCCCAGGAGCATGGACGCCCCTCGTCAGCCCACTTCACCGATTTCCTGCTGCAAAGGCCCTTCCTCCTCCGTCACCATCTGCTCTGTAACAAAAACCACCCGGCCTCCCGTTTCCTTTCTCATGTTGAGCCCACATATGGGGACACCTAGTGGCCCACTAGAAATGGAAATCTTTCGTCAAGGAGCTCCAGCTCTGGCTCCTGAAATAGCTCTGAAACACTCATGAATACTTTCCCGAGTGAACTCACACCACAAGCAGCGCTCCGGGAACGGGGAATCTTCCCATAACAACTCCCGTTCAGAACAACAGACCCTGAGTCACTCCAAGACGGCGCATGGAGGCCCAATATGGCCCAGAATCAGGGGACTCGGGCGCCGAGTGGTTTTCTCTGAAGGACACGCGGCCACCAGGGATCTGAGGGTCTGTGAGCGGGGCCGGCCAAGTCCCGCGGCTGCCCGTGGACAGGGACAGTTCCAGAACAGTGATGAGCAAACAGACAGAACCAAAAATGTTTTACAAGTTGCTGGACACGTATTTGAAAATTAAGCTTTGATGAAAAGGGGAGTGGGGGAAACGGTAATGCTCGTTTTCAAATAGGGAGAGTTAAAAATAAAAAAAACCTTAAGCTGGACCCAAACCATGGAAGATTCTGAACATCGTGTGGCAGGCAAGAGACGGTGTCCTTTGTGGACAGTGGGTCTGGACACTGTGTCCGCAAGGGATATACCGGGAGGTCTAGGCAGACGACCTGAACTCTGAGACCTGGAGATGGGCTGAGAGAGGGCACACTGTACCTCGGGGTCACGCACACAAGTCGGGGCAGGGGCGCTGGCCCAGGGTGGCGGGGGTGCCCCTCGGCCTGCCCCACACCCCTGCCTGGACTCCTCAGAGAGCCCACATAGCACTCACTTTTGCTGAGTCTAAATGCCCTCATCCGTGGGGTGCCCAGGGGGGGCTCAATTTTTTGAGTGTCCAATTCTTGATTTTGGCCCAAGTCATGATGATCTCGGGGTGGTGAGATCGAGCCCCACATCTGGCTCTGCGCTAGGTGGAGATTCTCTCCCTCTCCCTGCCCCTTCCTCCCCGCTGTGTTCTCTCTTTCTCTCTCTAAAATAATAAATAAATAAATCTCATTTAGTGCCCTCAGCCCTTTAACAGTGTTGTGGGAGGGCACTGTCAGGGGAGAGGAGCTGGTTAGGAGACAGGAACTATTTCTTATTTGTGTTCTCGTCCCAATGGTAGGGCAGGAAGTCTAGAAGGCAGCTCTGCAGAGAGGAGGAAAATCACATTTTCCCAAGTCTCTGCTGCCACAGGACCTTGGCACAGTCACTGATCCCCATGACTAGAACTTTCTTTGCTGGCTCCTCCCTCAGGCCAAACATGGCATCCACAAATAGAAGCCCAGCTTGGGTACCTGCTCTGAACACAACTGTAAGGGTTGTGGTCATTTGCCCGACTGCCTTTCCCTGACCTCAAGCACCCAAGGCTTCAGTGCTCAGTCCCATCCCAGAGACAAACCACACGAATTTCCAGTCACCTGAGTAGATGTGGAAATCCAATCCATACTCCAGAAATGACGTTATCTCCCCTGAAGCTGAGTCTGGGTTTCCACCCCAGTCTTTCTCCCTGTTTTCCCATGGCCCCGTTTCCACGGCCCCAAGACGGACTCCGCTGGACAGGAAGCTGCGGGGGCCTGGGTGGGATGGGGGGTTCCTCCTGCGTGTTTCAGGCCTCTCGAGCAGTAAGAGTTGACACCACTGGAGGCTTCCCCGCCTCCCCCGTCCCCGGCAACAGAACCGAAGCACACTTCATTACACCGACCGGAAAGTGTACAGCACTGGAAGGACTCGTGACAAACGCGAGTCAATACTGAGTTAACGCCTGGATCAGGAGGCAATTCACGGACGCTGCCCAGACCTGTGCTCACTGCAGAGCCAGTGCTCAGGTCTCCCGGGGTCATCGAAGAGCCCGCCATCCTTTTAGGCCAAGTGTATACACATGGGTCAAACTGGACGAGGGCAATTAGCAGGCACTAATGGGAACAAAGGTGGGCCACAGCTCCCAAGAGGCAGCAGCACGCTCCTAGGGAGCAGGCCCCAGTCTCCGTCGGGGAAGTCTGCTGGTGGCGAGGCCAGCCTGGACCACCGGCTTCCGAAACGGAAGAACCTACAGAGCCTCTCACGGGTTATTATGCTCGTCTCGCCGTGTGCGCGTTTGGATCTGGTATTTCTTTCTTTCTTTCTTTTTTTTTTTTTTAAAGATTTTTTATTTATTTATTTGTCAGAGAAAGAGAGAGAGAGAGAGAGTGCACAGGCAGACAGAGTGGCAGAGGGAGAAGAAGGCTCCCTGTGGAGCAAGGAGCCCGACGCGGGACTCGATCCCAGGACGCTGGGATCATGACCTGAGCCGGAGGCAGACGCTTAACGACTGAGCCCCCCAGGCGCCCCTGGATCCGGTACTTCTGACATCACTCAGCAACCTCTAACACCGATCCTGAAGGAGAAATTTCACACGTAGGTTGCAGTGTGTTTGCTGCCCACCGAGCTCAGCTTGCCTGGAGTTACGGAGAACACATGCTCGCCGCGGGAACAGCCCTCCCACTCCTGGACCCCGAAGCTCCGGCTTCGAGTGGGGGACACGTGATATTCGAACGGAGCACAGACCCCGTGGACTCTGTCTGAATAGCTCGCCTCTGCCCCGAAATCCCACCCTTCACAGAAGCACCAAAGCAACAGACTATTAAATTTAGTTAAATATTAGATTTCTCATTTAATGATTGCCCACACAGCTGGTTTTATCAGCAGAGAGCTGGCTGGCCCACGGGGGGGTTGAGTTAAGCCATTTTATTTGTTCCCATAATTGCATTCAAAGAAGGCAGGAGCTCAGCAGAGGAAATAGGAGAAGATTGGCGTGTTCCCGAAGGACCCTTCTTTTGACTTCACGGCCACGGGGACCTCCCGTCGGGAGCATACAAATGGCCACTCCTTAATTAAATGTGAGCCCCCTCTAATATTTGGCGGAATTAGCTATTATCAGATCTGGACACAGCGAGACGGCAGGCGCGCGGGCCGGCTCAGAGGGGCTGCCCCCACCCCGGCTGGACCTCAGCGGACGGGTGCGCCGTGGCCCGCAGGCTGCCCCAGACCCTGCTGCTCACGGCACTGCGGGGTCCCCACTTGGCCGCATTCGGGGAAATGGGACCAGAATCTGCCAGAAGCCAATGGGCAGCCGACCTGCGGATGACAAGGCAGCGGCCGCCCTTCTTGTGTGTCCGTGGGAAGGAGAGGCACAGGAGCGAGCGCCCGGATATCACGCCCCATGGTGGGGTCTCCTTGCCCCGCCGGCATGTCCGGGCCTCTTGTAGCCGGGCCGCGGCCTGGACGGAGCGTCCGAGGAGCCGAGCTGTACGCCCTCCTCACGGTAACACCAGCCACGTAGTAACCGTGGTTTTGTGGCTCTTCTGTCCCGGCTCCTAAGTTGTATGAATGCCCAAGCCCCAGATGAGTGTACTTGGGTCCCAGCCATAATTACGTTCTTCAGGAAACTGCTTCTAAATAATTCAGAGTCACATCTGTGAACACGGCCGCAGGCTCTGCTCACAAGGTCAGATTTTCTGAAGGGAAAGAAGTCACCTATCCCCAGGGTGGCGCTAGGGTCAGCGGGGAGGACGAGAGAGGACAAAGAATTCTGAAACAGTCATTTCACGTGGCAGAGCACAGCTGGGGTGGCTGTGCCGAGCGGCCCTGACCTGGCCGGGGCCTCTCTCCAGCGGACCGGCATCGTTCCCAAAGCTTCTGTCCTCGGATCCCGGAGCTGCCACGAGCACCGGCCGCACGCTAGCCGGCAGACCAGGCCTCCCACAGCGTGCCCAAAAGCCACCTTCCCGAGAGCCGGGGGGCCCTCCTGTCACTGCCGTGCACACGCAGCGCCCACATTCCGTCTCCGTCCACACAGCCAGGCAGCACGGCCTTCCCGACGCGTGAGGTTTAAACACGGCAAGGGACTCGGCGCCGAGTCAGACTAACCCAGCGTTGATTTCGGGAGCTGTGATCAGAGGATCTGGTTTAGACGATGACGACAACACGACAGAACCAGAGGCTGGAACTCCGGCGCAGGCTCTGCCGTGTGCCCCGGCCCGCAGCGTCCAGCTCTCACATCCCAGGAGGACCCCCGCCTGTCCGTGCTGTCCCCC